TAATAATAATAATAATAATAATAATAATAATAATAATAATAATAAAATACAAAACCAAACTGGGTGTGGTGGTGCACACCTTTAATTCTATCACTCAGGAGTCAGAGGCTGGTAGATCTCTGTGAGTTCAAGGCCAGTTTGGTCTACAGAGTGAGTTCCAGAACAGACAGGAATAAATAATGAAACCATGTCTCAAAAAACACCAACCAAACAAACAAAAATTGGCTGGGGAGATGCCTTGGTTGGTAAACTCTGGTCATATGAACAGGAGGACTTTCGTTCAATTCCCAGAACTCAGGTACAAAACCCTGGCATGGCAGGACGTGCTTGTAATCCCAGTGCTGAGGAGGCAAAAATGGCAGATCCTTGGATCTGGATGACCAGCCAGGTTAGCCTAATCCACGAGCTCCAGGTCGGTCAGAGGCCCTGTCACAAAAATTCATGGAGCATTCTATGTTTCTGTATGAGAAATACCCAATATCTGGCTCATCTCCCTTCTTTCACTTTTTTCAGACAGGTCTCAAAATATTGCCAAGGCTGGCCTTGAACTCAAGATCCTTCCTCAACCTGGGTAGCTGGGATTAGTAGGCATGAGTCCTCATGGCTTGTGCCAGATGGGATTTATGAATCCCATGTTACAGACAAAGCAACTGGTCGTAGATGGTCCTTACACTACTATGACTAGCTATGTTTCTACTTCCTGTGTCATCTCTAGGGATCCAGGGACCCACCAGAGTGATACCATGAGAGCTCCTGAGACAGAAAAACACCCCAACGAGGACTCTTCCATCAGAACCAAGGAAGCTACTGTCCTGTGAGCTTGTCTGCTGAGGCGGGTGCCTCCTGCCCAAATGATGTTTTTGTCAACAAACATTTCAAGACCCAGGGAGCCCCTGCTTCTGAAATGGGGTAATCTTTCGGTAAAGTCAAGACCTTCCCTGAACCAGGGAAGCCCCAAGGAGGGGGAGATCCTGCTTAGAGGAGTAGTTAAGACTCCCTTACCCTGGCTAGCTGCCTGGTCCCTGGTGGAGGTAGGGGACAGAATTAGCCCCAGTATGCAAAACAGCAGGAAAGCAAAGGCTCCAGCTCAGTGATGGCAGATGGCAAAACAAGCCGGTTCCCTCTGGCAGCCCAGACCCGGGGAGGATCAACAAGGCCTATCTCAACCAGCCTGGCCCAGAGGTCAGGGTCACTCTGTGCCAGGGACTCTGACCTGAAGCCCCCTGGCACAAGTGCCTTACCCACCTGTCCCACCCAGAATTCTTGTGGGAGCTGTTGTCTTGTCTTTCCCACAGCTGCCCAGGGTAGAGATTCGCCTGCCTGAACCCACAGCAGGGGTGGCAGGGATGTGTTATGGGGTCCATCAAGGATCCACCAAGGAGCTGAGCACCACAGTGGAGTCTGGCGGGGAGGCTTGGCGAATACAGCTTCTCTGCCCAGATGTTTGTGCTCCTTGTTACTCTTACTCACAGCTGGTAGGTTAGGACTGATTTGTAAGGTCTTAGAGGCCAATGGGGTATGTGTAAGGTGCTTTCTTTCTCTATTATATTAGGTTCACCCTACCCTGACCAAAAGCCCTAACACCATTCACCATTCAAATCCCCTTTAGGAATCTCTCTCTCTCTCTCTCTCTCTCTCTTTCTGGTTTTTTGAGACAGGGTTTCCCTGTGTATCTTTGTAGACCAAGCTGGCCTTGAACTCACAGAGATCTGCCTGTCTCTGCTGCCTCCTGAGTGCTGGGATTAAAGGAGTGAGCTACCACCACCCGGCTATTTCTCTCTTAAAACAAGGTTCCTCTGTGTGTAGCCCTGGCTGTCCTGGAACTCCTCTAGATCAGGCTGAGCTCAAACTCACAGAGATCCACCTGCCTCTGCCTCCAGTGTCCTG